TAGTATCCCCATATAAAATACTACTCAGATGGCCTTCAACATATAGCCGGCCTACAGCTTCACTTTGCATGCAACCTGAAGAGTCATTCAAACCTAATCACTGCTTGCACGCTACCTCACAGCGACCACCTGAGAGATCCAACAAGAGGCGCCCCGAAACGAGCCCATGACTATGTTGGGCAAACTCAAAATGAATTTCAGGGCTTCCAGAAACAAGCGGGCTTCCAATGTAGACCCCCGGTACATTAATCCTTTATTCTGAACTCAAGAGTGGGTCGCTAGTTGTCGGAAACTCTAGACCCGAAAGCTTTTTAAAACCAACTTCTCGGCTTTCTTCACGAGGCATCGGCAAGTCAAGTCCCCTTGCCAACATCCTAAAAGTAGGCCCTATCCTTCTATTCGATAGTTCATAGGAGACACATCCTGAATGATTAGCTAAAGAGCAAATCTTGGAGATCGAGAGTTCATGAACTCACTCATTCCAACCTGCTAAACCTCCTCACTTACCCAAATCCTAAACCTTTAAACTATACCCCTAAACCCTGACACCCTGAACACGGAACCTTGAGACTTAAGCCCTCCTGAACCCTAAACTCTACACACGAAACCCCTCAAAAAAACAGAGCCCTGAACTCTGAACCCTAAACCCAAAGCACCCGGCCATAAAACCTGAACCCGAAATGCTACACCCTAAAATAACCCCACACTTGCGGAAAACAAAAAGAGGAAGGGTACCCTGCAGCTAGGCAATGGTCCTCCACAACGGCTTGCGTGCTTTCATCAGCTGTTTCGGCCTTTCGGGGATGCTTATAGGGTTTAGGGTTTATAGGGTTTAAGGCTTAGGATTTCGGGTGTAGGGTTTAGGGTTCCTGAACCATAACCCTAAGGGTCCCTCTGTACTCAATAACTAGGTACTTGGAATTTTGGAATCTTAGAGGGTCGAAAGACCCCAATATGAGTGTTCAGGTCCCACATACCATTCGGATTAGACTATCTGGGGCCTCAGCCCCCATTATTGGTTATGTGGACCCTCGGGGAATACTGAGAGTGTCAACCATGATACATAATGGTACAATAGTAGTGATAGTTGCTGCAGCCATGAAAAATAAATAAAGAATGGCAGCAGAAATGACAATAGTACTGGGACGGTCCAACCGAACTTGGCTTTCGGCAGCCTTCTCAGTATTGGGCTAGATTTAGTGGCCTCTTAATTTGTTTATGGATTTTTAAGGAATATGCAGGATTAGTGCCCAGAATGCTCTAAATGTTCCCAGAATAAGAAGTGGGGACATGTGTTTGCGTTTGAATCTGCTTTTCGTGCTCTGGGCTTATCTGAGGCACTGCAGCGTTTGTAGTATAACCTAGCTGTGACTTGCACAAGACAAATGATGCAATCCTGGATGCAAGCAAGGATAGCAACAACATCAAGACGAACCATTGTTGAGAGCAAGCCATGGGTTCACTACCTGCCTATACTACCTCCCTAAGTTCTACCTGAATTAGCTTAACTAGCGAGAAGTATACTCAAGCAACCCTACCGTGGTTAAGGGGGAACCTACGGGGTAGTATACCGGGCGAGGCCCCCTAGTTACATGACTATACTTATAACTCCCAGAACTATGATTCATCGGACTTATAAGTAGCAATTTCCCTAAACAGGGGACCCCAACATAAACCTTCTTATAGGGGCACCCCAAAAACTACACCTTATTTTGAGAAACCTACAAATATGGTTGCAACGTTATTTCTGACTAAGGGGCCGCTCCTTCAGTAGCACGCGAAACTTTAGGACGCCCACGCCAAATAGACCACGAAGATTGGAGTAGCACTTTTTTTGATGGTTGAACCCAGTAAGATAATATTCCTTATACTAAGTACTATACCCCAAAAGCAGGATATAATCTTACTCTATATTGGGTACCATAATATCCCAAATAAAATGCTACTCATTGAGGGATTCAGGTAGTTCAAGGGTCTAGGGTTTATAGGGACTCAGGATGCGCCTGCACCCAGGAACCGCAAGGCACCCTTACGTTACACCCTTGACCCCAAACCCTACCTGCATCCCTAATTGTCTACAGTTTTAGAATTGGACAATATCTATAATATGATGATCTATTGCCCTTAATATGCCCCCATTATTACTACCCAGACCCCTGAAAGGATCTAAATATTAGATCCCCTATATACAGCCATAATGACCCCTATATTACTATATAATTCCTATATAATTCCTTATAGTCTTCTAGGGATCTAATTTTTAGATCCCTTTGGGGGTCTGGGTACTAAGCTGTAGGTAACCGGGGTTACAAGTAGCCCGTGCCTCAGCTTGATAACGGCGGGCGCGGAGGCCTCGCAGCAAAGAAGCCCAGACCCTCCACAAAGAGGATCTAAGGTGTAGTTAGGGTTTAGGGTTTAGGGTTTAGGGTGTACCTGAACCCTGAAAGTATGTAAAATAATGGCCTTTAGGGCTTTTATTATGGGTTTAGGGCTATTATTTTACATACTTTTGGGGTTTAGGTAGGATTTAGGGCTTAGGAGTTAGGGTTTAGGTGACTTGGTTCAAAGACACATCTCTGTCATCCCAGGGCAGGGGAGGAAGAACGACGATTTAGAGTTGTCCTTTTTGGGGGTCCCCACAACAAGGATTCTAGTATGTTACTATGTTGGGGTCCATATTGGAGGCATCCCATTTATGTAAGCAACCACAGGTATCCCAACACAAACAGCCGCTTGCTTTCACCTGGTTCTTGCATTGTTTGGCAGCTTTTTTTCCGCGCGCGTCTTAAAGTTACAGAAACATGGACCCAGACCCCCAAAGGGATCTAAAACTCAGATCCCCTAGAAGACTATGGGGTTATAGGAATTCTATAGGGGCCTTTATGGCTTTATGTAGGGGATCTAATATTTAGATCCTCCGAGGGGCCTGGGGAGCCCTCCAAAGGGCCGAGAGCAGCTATACACATACCCTTCGGATAGCTAGGAATGAAAGAATGGATCCTTATCCCTAAGGGTCCAAGGACCCAAACAATAGGGTTTTAGGGCCCAAGCACCATTATTATTATTATAGTATTTGGGCTCTAAAACCCTATTATTTGGGTCCTTGGACCCTTAGGGTATAGTAGTCGCTATATAAACCATTACGGGTTTCCATTTTTATTCCATTCCTTTTGAACCCCACCGAAACCCTAAATCCTACAATAGTACTTTCCATTGTTGCTTCCGTTCCTTTGTCCCCAGGCAACCAAACCCTAAACCTTAAACCTTAAACCCATTCCCAGCTAGCCAAAGGTAAGTACACTTCCAGCAGCCAGAGCGACCCGAGCCCTTCTCTGCCGGAAGCAAGCGGATCAAGACTTGCGGACAATGACATTCTTATCATATCAGGGTTTCGGGTAATACTATGTGTATTACTAAACCCGAAACCCTAAACCCGAAATCCTAAGCCCTAATATGTGGAGGGTTTAGGGTATGGGCGTCAGTCAGTGTGAGCTTCTCCAGTTCTGCGGAATGCGATAGATCTGTCTGGACATGTTGTATGCAAGACGGCATGTGCTGTTGACAACTCCCGAGCGCAGGATATCTGTCATCGGTGCGCTTCTAGAGCTCTCCTGCAGCTCTACTGCGATAAGTTCTGCGATCACCTCGTCACTGAACAGCTTCACAAAATCCACACAGTGTCCTCAGCCCACAAGAATGGCCATCAAATTTGTGGTTTTCCCAGCATTAGGGGTTCCCCAGAATAAGGATTATAGTATTTGGGGGTTTATATTGGCGTCCCTGTTTTGGGAAACGACCATTTCAAGAAAGAACCAGAGTGGCAGAGGGCGAGGAAGGAGGAAGGCTTAGCTACAACTGTCGGAGACCCAGATACCAGTAAGGCAGCATATGTTAGGAGGACCCCCCACCCTGTAATAGTGGTATAATAGGAATATAAGAGGACCCTAATATAATCCCTAATATCCCCTATAGTCACTATTACTGGGTGGGGGGTCCACCTAAAGTATATGATATGCAGCGTCAGCTAACACAGGCGCCTGGTGTCAATCAGCTTGCCCCAAAGGGTACTAGGCCTTTAAACTCTAAAGCCTATAACCCAACCCTCCACCTGTAAACCTGAACTCCGTAAAAGCCAGTCCTTCGAAAGCCTCAACCCTCAAGCCAAGAAACCGGGTTCCTGTAGAAATCCTATTAAAAAGTTCATGTTTAATCTATATTGGACCCAGGTATACATAGACATGTAAAATGTTGTTCAACAAGAACCCTGGAAAGTGAACTTTGCAAAACCTAAGCCCCAACCCCCAAGCCCCAAACCCTAAACCCTTAAGCTCCTAAACCCTAAGCCCCAAACCCTGTGTCCTGGAGTCATGAAGGTAAGATGATGCTGCACGGTGCTTGATGTGGTTTGACAGTAGCCTTGAATGCCTGAGAAGACAGAGGGTTTAGGGTTTAGGGTTTTTAGGGTCCATGATTCATGGTTTACAATGACAATGCCCAAGCTGATTTTGCAGGTGCAGTGTTTCGGGATTATAGGGTTGTTACAAGGAGAGTATGCTACTGTGGAAAATGCAGTGGGCAAGGCTTGGAGAATCAACATTAAACTACCTGGATATTCAGGATTGTATATGGAGGGTTCTCATACCTAAACCCTAAACCCTAAACCCTAAAACCCTTAAACCCTAAACCTTATTGGGGGGGTGCCTTCAGGACCGTATGGAGATATAGGGATTATGCAGGCGTTATAGGTGGCACTTTGAAGGATGAAGTCTTGAGATGATCTGCAGAAACCATGGGTTTAGGGTTTAGGTTTTTTAGGGTTTAGGGTTTAGGGGTTTAGGGGTTTGGGGTTTAGGGTTTAGGGTTTATAGGGTTTAGGGTTTAGGGCCTTCACCAGCCCGCCGTCCTTGTCTTGGATCCTGATAGCGGGGGATTTCGCCATTACATCTAAACCTTGAACCCTTAAGCCGGCTGCGCAGAAACTCAAAAGTGGACCAAGGCACTCTGCTCACCTCTTCCCCAGGAATGCTTCTGATAAAGCCGCTGTATGATTTCGAAATGCCCAGACTCGTTGCATTCCATCCTGTATCCCTCGAGCATGTAGCCATTGCCGTCGATGTCGCCCTCGCTGCCGCCGCCGAAATCAAGAACTTGGGTGAACTCGTGAAAGCCCGTCTGAGCAGTATCACCGTTGGATCGGAGCGGTGCTCTCAGTGGGTTTGCATACATTCTAGGCGGCTGCTCAGACTGCATGCTTACAAGCGGAAGCCAAACGCAAACTGCAAGGTACTCGAAGGCAAAGACGTTATCTTCCTGCATGTCCCGGCACGTCACGTCTGTTGATCGTGGCAACCTAGGTTCCCCAGCAACCCCTCAGCAAATAACAAGGGAACCCTTATTCCTAATTAATGTTCAGTGTTCATAAGGAGACCCCACAATAAATGAGCCATTATCTAAACTCCTGGGACGACGGACGTAAGTCTTGGTCATTTGCGGTGAGACAGTCGATCAGGTGTCGACAGGTCCAAGTAATGTTACAGTAACTAGTTAAGGCATAGTACTAGTCAGCATACTGGAACTCCTAGTATCCCCCGTAATAATCCCCATCATACTCCCCCATTTCACCACCCCTTTAAGGCGTTTAGGCTATGGCTGAACTGGGGAATAAAGGTACTACTGGGGTACCTAGCAACAGAGGGTTCGTCAGGGCGGCTTTGAGAACTGCCGCTGGCCAATCCCGTTGCGCTGCGCTCAGCAGTAGCAAATCGGGTAGCAGGACGCTGGCGACCCGCCTTGCCTTCCAAGGGTTTAGGGGTCAGGGCTTAAGGTGTAGGGTTTCGGGTTCTTGCCTTCTTCGCCAGGGTCTGATGTAGCCGTGCTTCATGTTTGCTCCCCTGCGCCGCTCTGTGCATGTTACAAAGTACCAGCATGTGCATCTCCAAGTGGGGCTTCAGGATGCGTGCAAACCTGGATTGCTGTTAAGGAACTTAAGTTAACTTACTATAGTAAGGAAACCCGATCATCTACTTTTTATCATATTATGGTCGCTTGCTGCTTAAAGCCTAACTTGCTTTCCTCTAGTAAAGGAACCCTATATTGGCCCTATTATTATCTATTTACACATATTATGGTAACTAAACTTTAGTTCCTGAACAGCAACCCAGAAACTTTGCGCGCTCCTGGACATCGCGGATGGAGCTGGGGGGCCGCAAGAGCTCTGCACTGGTCGCCAGGTCCTGCTCAATGGCTGACCAGCGATTGAAGCTGCTTGCCTTGCCAAAGGGTCAATGTAGGTGTATAGCAAATACTTAAGCCAAACAAGTATGTACTTAGGCCCTGTAAGTATGTACTTAGGCCCTACCAGCATATACTTAGACCGTATTAGTAAATACTTCAGCCCGAAAAATGTATCTACTTAGGCCTTATAAGCTAGAAGTACAACCCTAAACCCTAAATCCCTAATCCCTAATCCCTAGGCCTTACAAGTCTATACATAGGCCCGAAAAGTATATAATATACTTAGGCCTCCTTATCAGTTGGACGTACATACAAAGGCCTTACAAGTATATACTTTGGCCCTATAAGGTTTAGGGTTTAGGGTTTAGGTATATACCACATGCCTACATGGACCCTTTGGGCCTTGCTGAGGGTCCGCGCGAAGCCCTTGTCACGCGAGCTTCCCGTTTCGATGCTATCGCTCCACAGGGCATCCATCACAGACATCTCCTGAGAAAAAGGGCTTAGGATTTGGGGATTACGGTTGCAGGCTAAAGTAGGGTTTGGGGAGTAGGGCTTAAGGCTAGAGTTTAGGGTTTAGGGATTAGGGTTTCGGGATTAGCAGGAAGGGTTTATGGTTTAGGGATAGGATTTATAGGGTTTAGGGATTCAGGCTCAGGCTTAAGGTCTCTCCAAGAGTCTATCGCTTAGAAGTGCCATATGAGATATACACCACTATGTACGCCCAGTGTTCATGTAATTGTCCATGTTCTTTTCCACTTCATGTCCTAAACCCTAAACCCCTAAACCCCTAATGTCCCATCTTATACAACAGCTTCCATTTTCATTGTCCACTACATCAATGGCCCATCCATCTGAGCCATTGTCTAAACTCCTAGTATCCCCCTTAGTAACCCTTATAATAGTCCCCTATATAGTCCCCTATATATCCCCCCTTTAAGGAGTTTAGACTATAGTCCATCTATAGATATCGACTTGCCTTATGAGAACATCGGCTCGCCCTTAACCCTAAACCCTAACCCCAAAGCCCAAAGCCCTAAACCCTGAACCCTAACTCTAAACCCTAAACCCTAAGCCCTGAACCCTAAGCCCTAAACCCTGAACCCTAAACCCAAAGCCCTGAACGCTGAGCCCTAAACCCTAAACCGCAATCGGCTCGCCTGGATCTGGTCCTTTGCAGCCCTCGCCTGAGCCGTGCCCAAACGGAGGAGCTCCTCGGCAAAGACGCGTTGGCTCACCTGCCTCACCGATTCAGGGTTTAGGGTTTAGGGTTTAGGGTTTAGTCGTTTAGGGTTTAGGGTTTGGGGTTTAGTTGTTTAGGGTTTAGGGGTTTAGGGGTTTAGGGGTTAGGGTTTAGGGTTTAGAGGGTTTAGAAGCATGTAGGTGTCTAGTCTAGACTTATAAGTCCTAAGTATGTACTTCAAAGGCCTAACTATATACTTGTAGGGCCCAAGCATATACTTATAAGGCCTAACTTTTTGCTTCGAGGGCCTAATTATGTACTTCTTGCCTACATTGACCCTTTTGGTCAGCTGCCGCTCTCAAGTCACGCAAACCCCAGCACCCTCCCCGCTCGTCCCATAGGAGTCCCAGAGAGCCTGAGTATGCCTAAAAAGGAGGACTTACGGTTTAGGGTTTAGGGTTTTAGGGTTTAGGGTTTTAAGGTTTAGGGTTTAGGGTTTTAAGGTTTAGGGTTTAGGGCAAATAGATTGTTTTGGGGGTCTATTCAAGGTACCCTGTATTATGAAGGAACATCGTACCAGAATATTGCTAACTACCCCTAAGCCTTAGCCCTAAACCCTAAACCTTACTATTGGTGATCAATCGTTTAAGCCCCTGCAGTACCGCCGCACGTGGGGTTTTCTATTGCAGGCCGAGTCTCTCCATCTTGGACTCCAAACCTGGATTGCTGTTAGGAAATGTTTAGGGTTTAGGGTTTGGATATTAGATACCATATTATGGGTATATAGGGTTTATAGGGTTGATGGCTAAGGTTAACATCTTATGGGGAAATCGGGCTTAGGGTTTCGAGCTTAGGGCTTGAGCTACCATGTTATGGGTCTATGGGGCTTAGGGTTTAGAGTTTATTGCTGAAGCTAGCATATTACGGGTAAAAAGGTTTCAGGGTATAAGTTACCGTATTATGGGTACATAGGGATTAGGGCTAGGGTTTGGGATCTAAGTTGACATATTATGGGTGGGCGGGAGGGTATTCCCCCCCCCTGTATTCCGTAGC